GTCGTGTGTGGTGCCGCAAGTGTGAAGTCGCCTTATGTACATACCCATGCTTTGAGATTTATCACAGCAGACGTCACTTTGATGCAGTTGATCCAACAGATTTGCATTTTGATACTCACTTAGTATTGTGTGCATCTGTGGTCTGACTTTTTATTGAATAATTTCTATTTGGAAATTTTGTCTTGACTTACCTGCAATTCTCTAATTTTCACTACTGCATGCTGAAGCTCATTAGCTTGTTTATTATATATATACACATATTTGAAAACACAAGCAACTACTACAAATAAATTGATCTAGTTGCAATTGTAAATAATTATCCATGAATGCTTTTCACAGCTTTCGTAAACAAAATGGAGATTTTTCCCCTAAATTGCGATGTATTGAATGCTTACAGATTTTTCATCAAACAGCTGTTGTTGGTGCTAATGGGTGTGCTAATGATATGCAAATTTATTTATTACAATACATAATTTGTCTTAATTTTTTTTTTACCAAAAACAATCATTATTACATCAAAATAAAGTCCCAAATTTGTGTAAATTACATCAATAAGGAGTGGCAACTGTTTGATGATCACAAACTGCAAATCCAAGTGTTGGTTATTTCATTCACTATAACTACTTATTTAGGTAGTCTTTTTTATAAAATGTCATTCATTGGTTCTAAATGATATGCAAATGATATGCTAATTTATGTATATATGGTCCGAATTTTTTTCTAAATGCTTACTTTCAGAATATCAACAAATTCCTCAGATAAATGATAGCCATCTGACTTAAAAATATTATTCTTCTATTATTTAATATTTATATTTAAATTTTACTAAAACTGTTTTTATACCCAAAATGTATACCACAAAATCTATAAGTGGTCATAACAATACAATATTAAGAAAGATTGTTTTTTCTAGATATGTTTACATATCACAATATTGACTTTTGCATGGCAAATAAAAAAAGTTACGATTATTGAATCCAGTTACTGTCTGTCTTATTTTTGACTCCCATGTGCGAAGCACAAAATGGGAGTCTTTGCAGTTAGTGTGTGTCTGTTTGTGTGTATGTGTGTATGTGTGTCAGACTGTTGCACTGCTATCTCAAGAACCATACATCGGTTTTTGATGAAACTTGGTGCATAGATGCTCTGGGCCAATGCGCAGATTTGATTAGGTTTTGGTAAAAATCCATGCTCGTTAATTACCTAATTTGCATGATAATTAGCTAATTTTTAGCTGTTCTATGACTGTTCCACTGATATATAAAGAACCACTCATTGGATTTTGATGAAACTTGGTACATAGATGCTCTGAACATATGCGCAGATGTGATTAGGTTTTGGTAACAATCCGTCAGTGTTCTCCCCAGGGCTCTGAAGCGACACGGTACCGTGATGCTTGCCCTTTGTCCGTGACGCTTGGTCACTCAGCCGTGATGCTTACATTTTTGTTTACAAGTGTCAGTCTCGTCTTGCACGTATTTAAAACAATAACATGTATTGATCGATTTAGGTAATCCTGCTTTTGTTAGCCATACAAAGACAGTGATAAAAACAGAAGTCTGCAATATGTTGCGAAGTCTTTCAAAGGTGCAGAGCCTCCAAATCAAAAAAAAAATAACTAGAATAGCAATAATTTGCCCATTGCACGCAACGGCAACAATGTGACAAAACAAGTCACGGCGTACGTGGGGAAGATCAACCCCGATTTGCTGCACTCTGATTTGTTATCACTCAATTGCTGGTGACATTATTTATTCAAAAATTAAAAAAGAACAAGTGAAATTAAGTCGCATTGGAAAGAAAAGTATGAATAATTCAACAGCAGACGAGACGGGATGAGACAAAACAAACTCTGACCTCTGGAAATACCCCA